GCGAGGCGCGACAAGGAGGGCGACAAGCTCAGCCCAGCGACGCCTTGCTCCTGAGGACGCGCAAATGTGCTGAGTCCATGCTCCATGGGCTACGCACCTGAGGATGAGTGGTACAGCTGCGGCAGTTAGCAGCAGCTACGGGGACCCGACAATGTGTCAGGCGGTCATGCTCCGGTGAAGCATAGTTCTTCCCGGACACTACGAGACTTCGACCCTGCACCGCAGCCATCGCGTGAAAGCCATCAACCAGTGATGAAACTGTAAATATCCTCTTAGTTTTGGGAACATAATGTGTGTCAGAGACATTGATATTTTTCATTACTTATTGTGTATATAGATAATTTTTTGTAACATAAGGAATTTTTTATTATCCCCAGTGTTACTGTTTCATTGACCATCTCAGGACCATGACACAGGGACAGACTAGGTGCTACCTGAATCTGCACCTCTGCGAATGCTACAAGGTACTAAACCCTGCCCTGGGCTTACATTAGTCCAGTCATTGCATAAAGTGTGGTGGCGTACCTGAATTTTCCCGCACATCTGTTTCATACGTACATCAAAACAAAAAGTTCGGAGAATGTGGAATCCTTTTTCACACACACACAAAAAAGAAAATTGATAACTGTGCTAGTTCACCTTCTGTATCTCTTTTACATTTTGAAATCTCATTTCTGGAGAAAAGTAGAAAGGTGGGCGAGTTGAAACTGATGCATTCTTGAAAGCTTTTTAGTGAGACGAAGCACAAAGAAAAGAATAACATGTGTTTGTGTCCTCTTTATGTGCTCTCTCTAACTCGCGCTGAAAAGTTTTCAAGATTGCTCGTTTCTAGACACTTCATTACAGTAGAACCTTCTCTTTCGCTTTTCCCCTCTCGTTCGCGTTTTTCTGGGATATATCATCCTCTGTGACTAAATACAAGTCTCAGTCTGCACCTGTTTGTACAACTTTCTGTGTCCTGTTAGTTTGCAGAGCCAATATTCCAGTATAAATCCATACCACCTAGCCCGCTTTCCACCCGTCTGACATTGGCCGATTTTGTCAATCATAACAACATCTATGGAACTTGCACTTTCCCAGGGCAATAACTCCGTCTTTGAGAACACTGAAAAAGTAGCTCATGTTTGCGCTTCTGGTCTTGAATGACTACTGAATATTCTATTTTCGCCGACGTTTATGAGAAGTGGCAACCCCACACGCATGCTGCTTCAAACACCATGTGCCTGTGTTGGCCACTTGTTTTGTATGAAGCCAGCTACAACAGCATTTACCGGTGTGTTCAGCACAACCTTATTGAAGGCCACCAGTATGCCTGCCAGCGCAATGCCAGCGGTCTTACACGTATGCCACAACCTAACTGCTTCAAGGACATCACTTGGTGTTTAACTATGTGAAACCACTTTAAAGTGCACTACCTGTATTCGACAACTGTTTTTAAGTCAAGCTGACACAAGGGCATTGTGCATAAGGTAGCTCAGCCATACTTCAGCATAAAAGATGGGCGTTGTGTCTGCTACGACAAGCTCAGTGTCGTACTAGCACATTGTTCTCGTGCACGTACCAAAGCCAGCACAGTGCTGAAGGAGATACCGATAGCCAAGAAAAAGGACGAAGGTGTGCACTGACCGTTCCGTTTTGAACTAAACTATTAAGATCAAGGGCACATGGCAAAACACAATTCAGTCCTGAGTGCAATAAATAACAGACCCATGTAATATGTATATATATATATATATATATATATATATATATATATATATATATATATATATATAGCAATGAGATACAGGCACTCTTTGCTTTCTTTTTCAAACTTTACACTCCTACAATATGTTTGGTAAATATGCACATTCTCATGAGTAGAGCCTGTTAAGAACTGTGGTCACAGATCTGTAATATCTACTTCAAAAGGGCTGGCTCCGCACCCTAACTTTTTTTTCCTCCTTCCTCTCGTTCCTGCCCCACTTGTGCTGCAGGCATCCAAGCACTTCATGGGGACGACTCCAAAATGCTGCAGTAAACCGTCTACAGGAAAACCCGAATGCACCACCAACGCCACACAACAGATGGAAACAACCAAGATGGATGTGCATGCATCATTAACAGCAGGCTTCACTTCAGAGTGGTGTCAGAGACGTGGTGACTGCACAAGAACACCTGGTCGAGTGACGTAACTGCATCACAAACGAGACGAAGTGGTCAGAGCCTGCTCTTTGCATTTGGCAAATGACTCCATGATGAGCAAGCCTGTACAAAAGTTGTATATGTTGCAAGCAACAGCATTACTTTTCCCAGATTTGTTCCCTCCCTGTTGGAGAATGTTGCAAATAATGAAATAGGGCATGGGAGGAGGCGTAAGATACGAAAGGAAGGCGAAGAACGAAGAGCGGATTCAGAGCCAGCCCTTATGAAGTAAAAACATGTTCCAGATCTACAACCATAACTCCTCATTCTTAACATTTGCACAGAAAACAGTATCAAGCGATAACCACTTTCGAAAGTGCTCGGATACACGCAGAGACATTTCTCGCTACAGCCCTGTGCTTTGCTCCATAGGAATACGCTGGCTGCGATGCTAGCATGGTTGGTTCAAGTGGTGGCACTTCTGCTTCAGCTCCTCTCTCAGAGCTCTCCGAATCACTTTCAGAGACAAAAGCAGCGTTTTCACCTTTATTTCTAGGCCACTATTTCCTTGTTCTATTATTGGCCAGTTCCTCGGAGCATAGCGGAATAAAGGCCTGACGTCCAGCCTTTGCATCTAGCAACGAGTACGTGACAGGAAAAGTGGAAAGGCTGCTCGTTCCACCGACCAGCCGATTGAATTGGTCATTGTTGATGGTGGGTAATCTGTCAGCAGGTTCCTTGGCACTCATCATCAGTTGGCCTATGACAGCAACGTGCTTATTTTCATCATTCTTATTATACATGCCATAGCTTCCACCATTTCTTCAACTTCCTTCTGCTCTTCCAATATTGCCAATGCCTTGATCTTCTCTCAGTTTTCCATCTCACTTTAGAATACTTCCACAATGCCCAAATGGTTGTTCCTCTCCTGTAGAATTACCAGCGCGATATGTTTGCACCAAAGAAACTTTCCCGCAAATCACTATCACCTGATCACTACCAAAAGAGTCACGAATGACTGAGTTCTGATGTAGTAGCTCCACACTTCTGCATGCTGTTAAGACCAATTCGGTGCTATTCCCTTCAACCTCAACAGAATTGTCTTGACTCGCAGACTTTCCACTTTTGCGGTTGCAATTTGTGCCTTCCAAGCATCTGATGTCCGATTTAAGAAACCAACTCGGCTGTAGTTGACACGGTTATGCCTGATGTAAGAACGCAGCTGATAGCTCGTGTCACTTAGGTGAACAAAATGTTCGCATTCATAGAGGAAATACTGTCCCTCAACAATTGCATACATGATTTTCTCATGGTAGGCCACACCATCCTCATCTTCAGTCATGTTAAGGATCTGCTTGTCCAACTGACGGAGCTCAGTTTCCTTGGTCAACAAAGCGGTGACTTGCTTGTTGACCTCGCGTGCCTCAGCGACGGAGTCCTGCAGTAGTCCGACAAGGAGCATAATATTCTGAGAGGCACTGGCCCTGACAGTCCCACACACCTTAAAAAACGTTCAGCCGAAGTCAGCGCAGTTCAGTACCGATAACTACCAGGTTTCGGCACCAAATGTTAAGAATGAGAACCCATGGTTGTAGATCTGGAACACACTTTTACTTCACAAGTACGAGCCCTGAATCCCCACTTTGTTTTTTCCCCTTCCTTTCGTATCTCGTGCCTCCCACCAAGACCATGCCCCACTTCTTTATTTTTAGCAGAGCCAATCAAAACAAGTCATTACAACTCGAGCCAATGTAAGATCTGCAAGGCTGGCCAAGCAGCTGCATCTAGCAATTCAAAATTGCCTGTAAGCACAGCTTATTATCTGTTAAATCTAGCTTCAAGCTGTACACATACCAGAATAGAAAGGAATGATGCAATCACGGCTGTGATGTTAGAGCAGGCTCTGCAAGGTGTAAGCTTATATAACACCTCCTTTACCACATGACACATTAGAAAGGGAGGCAATCTATCGGTCATTCATGACTTATGTGACAAAATTCAGCATCACGTAGGCAGTCCCGACTATTTGCTTTTGTGTCCCAACGTGCAAAACCTCTGTTAATTACGGGAATTGTCTGGTAACTGATTTTATACATCGTTGTAATATTGCGAGATTTTGATGTACAGCTGCAACATGAAACTACAGACACGGGTGAATTGCTGTTTATTTATTTTTTAAAATGTTTCATTTATGCTGATACGTGTTTGTACAATGTACAACAGGGCACACGGAGCCTAGCACGAAGGCTTCCCACTCGAGACACACCTGTCAACCAACGAAAGAAAAAAAAAAAAAAAACGTTCCCACCATATTTTGTGCCTGCATCTGTGAGACAATTTTGCGCATACATGGTACAACCCCCCCCCCCCCCCCCACGATTACCTGTTCGTTCAGCTAATGCGTCCACAATTCGGCACAACTACTGCACGTATAAAAGCACGGATCAAATAACTACTTTGGGAAACAAGGAGGCCAGAAATGCCTACTGCCCACTGATTGTTCCCCGCGTGTGACGTTGTTTCCTGTTCAATGCCACATTGCGTTTTTGTTTTCTCTCTGTGTTGTTGTACCTTCAATTAAAGTGAGCACAGCTTCCATTAAAATTTCATTAAAAGCCCGACAGCGCTTATATCGTGTTTCTATATGTTCGCCGCTTCGAAGAGATCTCTTCGTTTCACGGCAAGTACAACACAACGTGCTAAGCCACCGTAACCAGCACACAAACAGTGCCTAAATTTAGACCAGTTTGTTCGAAGACGCTGTCAGCCCATAAACCGCTGTGCGGCAGTTATGAGAATGCAAGACGACGGCCAGCTATGCAGCTTGCAGTGGTTCGCCAAACCAACGAACCAAGTGCGAATCCGAAATCACTCACTGAACACAATGATGTCTTCGAACTGCTTGCATTGCATGTTGTTTCTGTCCTGCAAAGATTTCACAATTTGCTGCCTCCAGTCCACAAACGTACTTCCTTTAGTTGCCATTGCTATCACAGCCACGGAACACCTGTAACAGCGATGAAGCAAAATAAGGCTCTCATGGCCAGCCGGGCTCGGCTTGTTGACGCTTCACGAGCGTAGCAGCATTTCCGGCTCGAAAACTGCACAGATTAGTAGGCTACGAATCGCACTTTCCCTTGCGGTTTGATACAAACAACACAAATGCCCAGAAGACTGATTGTGCTTGCACCTATGAGGAGCGTCGTTCTTAAGAAGTTTGAGAGCTTCCTTCGCGATGATGAATGGTTATAGACCAGAGAAACCCTACATGCTACCATTTAGAGAAGGAAAACGGCAACAAAAATAAGTGTAGCGGTGGCGTTCTAAACTAACTTATCCGACCTAGAGATGACGCTGCTATCATTGTGTTGAATAATCGATGGTGAAGTCCCTGATGGATAGAAACTTAGCAGAATGAGCATGATCTATAAAGGAAAGGGGGACAAAGCTGACAAAAACAACTATCGTCCTATAACAGTGACATCAGTGGTCTACAGGCTGGCGATGCAGATTATAAAGGAAAGAGCAGAGACTGCTGCGCCACGCGGCGCACAAACCACCCCCACACAAAAACTAGGAGGATATATATAAAAAATTTTTGTATATATATCCTCCTAGCACAAAAACGGCTGCTGCGCCGCACAGAAGTGACGTAATGCATTTTTTGTAAAGGCGCTTTGTTTGAATAGTCGGGAGTGTCTAGCGGTACGTCTAGGCATAACAATAAAAGCCGTTAAAATTATGTCCAAACGAAAAAGTGAACAAAAATGTTATTTAGGTTTTGCGTGACAACAATACAAAACAGGATTGTTTGTCACCTCAAACCGATCGGCAGCTGTGGCGTAGTTTTTCAATTTATATAGAGTCATTTTGCCAAAAAGTCATGAAAAGCAATAACATAGTGGGGTACAAACTACAAGAAGCTGAAGTACGGGTACTGGCATACGCAGATGATATAGCTGTGTTTTGTAAAGATTATGATAGTATCGCTGAAACCATAAAAATTGTGAACCTTTATTGTAATGCAAGTGGTAGTTTGGTAAACTGGAGCAAGTGCCTGGGTTACTGGCACGGCGAATGGCCTGTGACTCCACAATTTGTGGCTGGTATTTCATGGACTACTACTCCGGTACGATACCTAGGTGTGCCATTAGAATATTATTGTGACAGTGAACCGTACTGGCGGCGTCAGGCTGTGGAGCTACGAGAAAAAGCTGAAAAACTCATTGGTTTCCAGCTATCAATTTTCGCCAGAGCGACATTTTGTAACGTATTTTTAGTCAGTAAGCTCTGGTATGTCCTTCAGGTTATGCATTGTTCACGTGTGAATCTACAGAAGCTTCATCGAATATTTGCTGTTTTCTTGTGGGGTTCTTCTTGGGAGCGAACAAGTAGAACTAACTTATTCAGACGGGTTCGCTCTGGAGGACTTGGTCTGTGTCATTTGTACCTTCGTCAGTTAGTTAATCGGTTTATGTTTTTCCGAAATAATCGAGACCCATTCATACGTACTGTTATACAGCTTAGGCTTGGAAGACGGCTGCCAGAATTTGTGGTAGCATCTGTTCACATGAAAGCAAGTGTTAGAGGTTTCTTAAAAGAAGTTGTTGATTCATGTCTCTTTCTAAAAACGCGTTTTTCATTGGAATACCTCAGTACGGTTTCGCGTAAAAAGTTATACAAAGATTTAGTAGAAACAGTTCTTCCTGTTCCCCTATATAGAGCATTATACTAGAGTGCCTAGAATATTCTCCTAGTGTCATGAACAGGCGCCTTCCCCATCGGCGACTGGGAAATTGATTTGGATTCAGCGTTAGGGGGCGCTACTTGCAACTGGCGCGTCAGTTTGCGTGCCGGCCGGGCCTTTCAACGTTGTGTCGGGTGGCGACTTGTCTGTGTGGTGAAGCCTGTTCTCGCTACGTTTCGAATATGTGCCGTGAATTCTCGTGCAGCGATTGTGTGTGACTATGCCTGAAAAAAAAAAGGAAGAACGTGCTTTGTGCCTTTGTGCAAAGGCGGGTACAAGTCTTTCAAGGAGAAGGTGTCTCTGTTCAGGACCCTGGCAGATCCTGTTCGTCTTCAAGAATGGGCGCAAAACATCAAAAGAGGTGACAAAGTTCTAGACAAAACTTGTGTAGTGTGTTCTCGTCATTTTGATGATCGCTACATCCAAAGAACTTTCAAGCATGTCATCAACGGTGAGGACGTCGAATTCGACCATGAACGACCATCGCTAACGCCGGATGCCGTTCCTACCATTTTCCCGGATGGCCCCGCTTACCTGACTAAACCAGTGCCTCGAAAAAGAAAAGAGAGGAATATTGCTGACTGCACAGCTCCGCCTGCTAAGCGTAAAGAGCCGAATGAACACACGACTTCCCAGGCCTGTGACGATGCTGCCGCTGGCGAGGAAACAGCACAGGCGCCGCACCCGTTTCACAGCATAACACCGCCGTCGGCATTTTGCAGCAAAATTTGCTTGCCCAGTAACCCAGAAGCATTGTGCTTCGCATGGCACTACAATACAGTGCCGGGTGACGTGTGCGTGTTGAAACACGTAGTGTTTTCGTCAAGCAAGGAAGTAGGTGCTGCAGATGGGTACCTTTGCAGTACTTACTGCCGCGGCATAAATGTGGAAGAGCACTATGTCAGCACCGAAACTGACGCACTCGCTTCGCTGAAAAGGGCCGACAATCTGCTTCTTTGTTGCGGTTGCGAAATTGAGCCTGCCGCTGGCACTAAGTGCGTCCGTTTCGGAAGCGGATGTTTTTCGCCCAAGTGCTTGGTTACTATGCAGGATGGGAAAGCTTGCTTGAGGTGCAAGTACCTGAGGAGACTGATTCAAAATCAGCGGAACAGACTGAAGAAGAAACGCAGAGGCACATTCAAGCAGCGCATTTTTAGGAAGTCTGAGCAGTTGTTCCGGGCCAAGAAGAAGCTGCAGCTAAGGCGCAAAGGAGCATTGAAGAGCTACGGGCAGTCAACAATGGAAATTGCCAGGGCTGCTTTAGAAAAAAAGTTGAGTGGTCTGCCAGTGAAGCAGCGTATTGCTGTCAAAACCTGCTTTCAGGCAGCCACTCGGAAGTCGACCAGAGGCATGTCGTATGACAAACTGTGGATATTGGAGTGCATTCTTATGCGAATGAAAAGTCCACAGCTTTACGAGCATGTCCGCAGGCACTGAAGAAGTGCTGGAAAGGCATGCCTCCCTGCTTGACCATGATGGCATGGTAGAAGAAAAGAGCGATAGCCAGCTAATTTTCTATATAGCTGGCTATGTTGTGCGCAAATCTCTGAAAAAATTTTCCATGCCCTGATTGTGCATCTTGTCTCTGCATTATGCCTCTGCAAGCAGAATCGAACTGCAATGCCACGCTGACGAATCAGTTCAACCATGGGGGCCTGCTCTACCCATCAGACGCTCTTGAAAAGCTCATCACAAAGCTTGAAAATGCTTTCACTGTGTTTTTCAGCCGGAACAAGCTTCATGCCGAAAGCTTGGTTAGCTTCTTGCTTTTTCTTCAGGGTCATGAACTTGAAAAAGTTGGCTGCATTGAGCACGGTCGTAAGCTCACTACAGCGATTATTAAGTTTTACGCACTCACCAGACTGTACTTCTTCACGAAAGCAACAAATAAGAGCCTGTCCTCTAAGCGAGAGAAGCAAAAGCTCTTGAAAATGCGGCGGTGTCAGTAAGGTGTTCAGTGCTGTTCATGTAAAAAAATGTAAATAAGTTCCTGGTACAGGGGCTTTTGTAATTAAGAAATCTGGCATTGTGAATCTGTTACGAGTTCGGAGCTGCCAAAGTGAAAAATGTAAAGAAATTCTTGACACTGGCTTCTGCAATAAATGTTGATATTGTAAATTGACATTTTGTATTGGTTTGTTTTTCCTTACTGCTGGTAACTCATTCGCAGGGGGTCCTGTTCGCCAGTGGTTTCGTCTGGCGCACTGTCATTGCTTTGGCATTATTTATTTTTCTGATTACTTCGAGGCGTGAAGGGCCAATCGAAGAGATAATGACCCTTGAACGTGGGTGCGTCCAGGCCTGCCACCGAGTGCAGGGAAAGTAAGTGTCCATAATACATTGTATATATAAAAAGTTGCGAGGAGAGGGTTTGTACAGTGCCTGCGATTCTGCACATGACAACAAAGTCGCGACAGCAGCCTACGGGAGGGAATGGTGGTCGCGGATGAGGAGAGAAATATGTGATTTTTTGTGTTGAACAGTCGTACCGCTGGGAGCCCCCGGTTGGCCACCCCTTAATTACCGCAATTTAAAAAGTAGCATTGGTAACGCGCGAGCGGCCAATCTATGAAGAGGCGGCACGGCAGGACACAAAATCTCAACAAGGCAGAGAGCTCGCATACATTTCGTTCAAATTCCCACGCTTTATTTACAGTCTGCGTGGAAAACGCAGGATAACAAGGCAATCGCGTGCTAAGCCATGAAACCACCACTGCAATTTCAACACAAAGCGTCTCCGGCTTGCTGCCTCCCCAGCTTGCCGAAAAAGCAGAGCGCGAGAGAGTGGTACTGCCACCTGGCGGCTGTATTGCATACCATTTCCCCTCGGCCGGCCCGTTCACGACACTAGGAGAAATATTCTAGGCACTCTAATTATACCGTGTAGGCCCAGGCCAAAATGTCTTAAGCCGTGTTAAAAAAATGGAGGTAACACCTGGAGCGAAATCCTTTTTCTTTAAGTTGCACACTGGGACCTTGCCCGTGAAAACATGGATGCAAGAAAAAGGCTTATTCGTTCCCTGGGGTGTTGATTGCCTTCTCTGCAAAAAGCCGGAAACAATTGAACATGTTTTCCTGGACTGCTGGGATGCAGTCTTTTTCTGGGATGTTCTTCAAAGGACTTTGAAAAAGGATCTGCCTCTCGATGCCTATGGCATCAGATTTCTACCAGTATCAAATGAAGAAGGAATACCTTTCGACCTAGTTATGTTACTGGGCCTACACGGTATATGGCAATCTAGAATGGCGGTGCGCCATGCTGATGTTAATGCACGTCCGGTCAGGCAATATTTCTTTCAATCTGTCTGTTCGTTCGTGGAAGCACAAAAGGTTCAACAAGAGGTGCCCGAATGGCTTCATCAAGTAGAAAGCCTTCTACAGATGAAGGAATTTTAAAAAGCCTGTTAAATATGATGCTTTTTACCCCTTTTTTGTTTCATGTTTCTACTTTGTTTGATGTATACATGTGTGTGAATGTTGTATGTAAACAGGCAATAAAGAAAGAAAAAGCAGCTGTGGCGTAGTTGGTTAAAGCAACACATGAACTGGTGAGGTCGGTG